CCTAATTCTTATCGTTAACTAAGTTTTCCCGGGTCTTTTCCCCCTTATAATGAATAAATCTTGCAATTTATTTACAGCTGGGCTCGTCAGGCACTCTTTTTGGCTGCAGTGGTTGTTATTATATTTACATGCTTCCATCTCCCGTTTCTGCTCGGTGACAGCTCGTACTTTTCCACTCTCCTTTTTCTCCCTCCCTCGCTCACAGACACATAACGGGTATGGCGGTCCATTCTCCCTGCAGCACGGACTACACTGCCCATGAGACTACATTTTCCACCAGCATGGAAACCAAAAATAGAGAGGGCATAGCCTTGTGAGACAGGAAAATGTTGCCGTGTAATCCATTCATTTCAAAAAGTAACTGTATTTTGAATACCACCTTTTTAAACGGTAACTGTAACGGAATACAGTTACTCATATTTTGTATTTTAAACAGGAAACGGCGGTACATGTACTCCGTTACTGCCCAACACTGCTCACTACCTTTCCCTTCTATCACAAATCAAGGTAAAGCTTAAAAACACGCTCGAAATGAAAACAAACCCAAACACAAATTATTTTGACCTTGCTTGAGCGCTATCATCAAGTCTTCATACACCTGAATGAGAGAAGTGAACGAGTACCTGAATTTGAAACACCAGTCGATTTTACCACATGTCTTCTGAAGATATCAAAAGCGCTGATATAAAACCTCAGAAGCTGAGGTAGAGGGGCCATCCCCAGCGAGTGAGTCATGATGAGACATGGTGTAATTTAACAGTCCATCCTTAAACCAGCAGCTCAGAGGGACAAACAACCACTCTTCAGCTTGTTGATATGAATAATCCCATAATTGAAACAATATGGTTGAAATTGCAGAGGGGGTCTACGGTTGAGAAGCCAATAACAGAGTCAACGGGAATCAAAAACACTTATTCTGGAAAAGTACAGTTATTGTCATGGGGAAGGCTGCAATGCACATAAACAGTCATTTAAGCAGGGTGGAGGTTACACGTGTGGAAGGACACATTTAGAGATAAACATTTGCAGTTATGTTTCTGGTTATAGAAGGTGTGTGTGTGTGTGTGTGTGTGTGTGTACGTGTATGCGTGCACATGTGTGTGACCTTTACATAGGCCCTCTAATTATCTGCTGCACAGTTTGAAGTGAGCGAGCGCACTGTTGGTCTATTTACAACGTGATGAGGCCCTGACAGCGTGGAAGAGCTTTTGATCACATTAGCTGCCTTTATTTGTTTGAAGTTGGCAAAGTGATGCGGAGCGTGAATTTACAAAACAAGACTTCAATCCAACGCTGACCAACGGGGCAGATTTCATATGCAAACTGAATGAAAATGCAAAGCGGAGGCCAACAGCTTGTGCTCTGTGTGACGATGCAAAACTGCATGGACAGACTACCCCTGAAGGCAACGATCAGCGCACCAACCGAATTGTGAGCCTAACAAACCTGCTTCTGACTGAGCGTAAGAAGGGAAGCGTATCAGCTTCTGTTCGTCATTGATCATTTAAAAGTGCTCCAATGTGAAAAGATCTGTGAGAGAACAGTGGGGAAAAATAAGCCCTTAGCTGACAGCAGGTTTATGACAATGACTTGATCTGTGGCTATAAACAAAAACACTGACACTGCAGTAAAGTGTGCAAGGCCACAACACCTGCTCATTGTGCATACTGTGAGTTTCCCTTATGCCTCTCAAAGCACCTGAAATCAATGTTTTTTACATTTACAATAGATCACGACTCTCATCAGCTCATCAAGCGCTCACAGCAAGAATTAGAAATGCTAAGCGTTTAAGAAAAATTCTGGTTCCACAAAGTGACACAATGACTGCTTTTGTTATGACAGTGTTGCATTTTGCAAGTTTTTAGAAAAAAACAAAGCATTAAAACAGAAAAAAGAACAGTAAATGCACTGAGGACTAAAAGCTAGTGGAGAAGATAATGTGGAAATGACACACTGTCTATTACCAGAGGAAGAACAAGAGCAAAGACTTCAAAGGGGAATCCCCCTGCAAAAGAAATAGGGCAGTAGAACCACAACGGTCAAATATGTGGAAAATCTGATGGTTGTACATGAAATGAGAAAAGTTTTGGGTCACAGGACCTTCATGAACTCCCCTGCTGTGGGTAAATCAACAAGCAAGAAGTGGAGTGCAGAAATAATTAGATGCAAGGAAGGAAATACATTTTCTGTCAGACACAGGGAAGGGAAAGATTGCATAAGTGAGCTATTGTTTTTCAGTACAGTCTGCAATGCAGATCACATTCAACTAGAGACAAAAGCTAACTGTGTTTACCAATATTTACTGTAGTACCAAAAGAGGTCAACTTGCAGTCATTGCATTTTAGCAAAAAAAGCCCAAAAACTTTTATACGTTAAAAGAAAAAAAAAATACTAGGGTGAGCTGGAGCAACACACAAGAAATTTGAATGATTATGTTTCTGCAACTGAAGGAAAGAAAGAAAATAAGCAGAGCAAACCGTGACTCAAAATGGCATCAGGAGAAGACATGAATGCAGAGAGGGAAAAGGAGAAAGGAAATCACACTGGAACAACAGAAAGACAGTTTGGAAAAGGAAGTTTAAACTGTAACAAGCCACGAGCCAGACAAACACTAATACGCACTCGCGCACACACTAACACACACCGTGGCACATGCACGCAACTTTCAAAGGTCTGGTCAGGCTCCAGATGTTCCCTGAGAGCTCTGCAGCTCAACATCGGGTCCATTTAGCTGCTATTCTAGACCCATTTATTATGCTAAAGATGTTCTGATTTAGATTCACGTCTGAGCACTTCCTGGGCAAACGTCATCTGCCAGCAGAGCTCATTTGATATGATCAAAAGCACCATTACAGCTGTTAAAGGAGGCTATTGGTAAGATATATTTTCTTGCCGTTTTAAAGGTGAAGAAAAAAAACTGTCATACATCTTCTCATGAGCCTGCATGGGCAGCGACTTCTTGAGGGCTCATTTCAGAAAGGAAATTACAGAATCCATCTGTAGATGAAGATCATGCGGCATGATAAAAAGCCCCAAAGTGTCTAGTGTTCTGTCAATGGCTGCAAAAGAATGGCCTCATCTTGGAAAGCCACAGGGCCGCCAAGTCCTTAAAGTACTCAGAAGAAGATAATTTCATCATCTGTAATTTCTAATTGATCGTGAGATATGATTAAACACGGCTACTAAAAATACTGTTTCCACTGCTGTTCAGCATTAACGTGCAAACCTCAGCTCTGAAGTCTGTAAATCACTGAAACCACTTAAGTGGACAAAGCAGCTGGTGAATTATTCTGTAACCTTAATGAAGTTATTAAATTTAAAGAAACTGAAGTAGAAATTGGACACACCCCTGTCTCGAGGATTTGTGGCTCTAACAAGAAAACATTTACAGGCATTTTTCCACTAATTTCAAATATTAAATAGACTTGATGATTAATAGGGGTCGGAATCAGAGAGTAACTCATAATACAACACTATCACAATGTGTTATCCATCCAAGTGGCTACCACAGACTAAAGTCTAACCAACTTGAACAGCCTTTGCCGTTTGTGGACACAGGTCTTTACCCCTTGGAAGCCTACTTGGAGTAACCTTTGAAGTTTGCACCAGAAGTTTGCACCAGAAGTTTGCACCAGAAGTTTGCACCAGAAGTTTGCACCAGAAGTTTGCACCAGAAGTTAGCGAGGGTGGTCTCTGCCCATGCAGCTACCCTTGGAAATACATGGAAACTGTTCTTATAGCCATCGTACGACATTTCATATACTCAGATGTCAAACCTCGTCATTAAGGGTAAAGGCGAGGTCGTCAGATATTGCTTTTATGAGTGGAAGAGGTAAATTTCAGCCTCTGACCTCTGACATCAGTGAACATCACCGATATGGCTGTAACGATAGTAGTCTGACATGAACCAAACAAATTAGGCTCAATCGAATGAAAATAAAGACATGCGAAGACCACACTTCTACATTTACGGTCAAGCTTTGCATGAACAGCACATGATGCTGTAATACTACGAAGCATTAAACCAATATGTCCTTCCCACTGTTGACATCTTTTGGGATTGATTTGACATCCCAGCAGTGAATAAGTGCACACAGCAGAGATATTTCTTCAGTTTTTGTTTTGTTGTGGACGACAGAGACCAGACTAGACATCTGGCCCCAGATTAGACCAGTGTGTTTAAGACAGACTTAAGACTCCGGTGGCCTGGAACACTGAAGGGTTCCAGACTCAACCAATTAAGGCTGCTAAACTTTAACTCCGTGCATACTTCACTTACTGCATGAACCCATGAACTGCAAACAGTGTACATGAACATGTAAAGTCTATAAAGGAGAGGGAGAGCGAGAGAGAGCTAAACTCCAAGGACATCAATCTGATAAGTCTTCAAAGCTAGAAGAGTCAAGTATTCATTTTATTAGGTTTCCATCAATAAAAGCTCAACGAGAAACTAATTTGCAATTTACCTGAGTGTGAGAAACAGTTAGATAAACTCATACTGCTAGAAAGGTCGTTGCACGTCTAAATTATGAGCAGGAAAGAGTGGAAGAGTGCATGAAAAAAAGAACTGCTGTAAATTGTACTGTCTGGAGATTTACAAGAGGTAATATCCATCATCTGAGTGTATACTGAGTTGTCCCAAGATCCTTTATCAGGTGCATAACTTCAGATCAGAGTGTACTGTCCTGTCTGACTGAAATATTCCTGCCTCCAGCTGGGATAATTGCTCAGGTCACTTGCCAAATCCAGCCATTGACTTTGATGACTGGAGGAAAACATGACACAAAGAACTGCTGCCTGACGATCAAAGCCATGAGAGCTCCTCTCTTCCCCTTCCTTTGTGACTTCTTAAAGACAAACTCACAGTGAATCACACAAATAAGCATGCTGATCACTCTGAGGTGGTGACTTATCCAACATTATCCAGCTGCAGACTGAGCAGCCGCTCGAATATTAAGATGGTGATCAGTCAGTAGCTGACTTCATGAATTTTTACTTACTCAGGCGTAATCTGAGACCAAGCCAGCTCCTTGGTGGCGATTTGTGCAGAACTGAATTCATGGTCCACTTGTTTGGCACCATCTAAACATACAATCCTTCTCGAAATCCTCTCCCGCACCAACTCCAGCTCCTCGCAGGTCCGTCTGTCGGTGTGGAAGGCTCAGCGCTGATCAGCCAGAAAAATGTTTAATTAGCACATTTTCATTTTCCTCTCATTCCCACGGTCGACCTCCTCTAAAACGCAGTGCGCTCACACTGGAGGATCTGCTCGGCGGCGAGCACAATGCTGTTCATATCACGGCGAATGCGCGGAAAAGAGTGGCAAAAAGCATCCCTCGGTGCACACGAACTAAAGTTAACGCTGGTCTAACGACTAGTGAAGCACAGCTGCAGGTTGGACTGTGCTCTAAATGACCTGTTGCTGTGTGCACGCGTGAAAGGAAAAAAAAAATCCTCCCAGCGTTCACCGAGCAACGTCTGTTGGTGAAGCTCGATCGGTGCAGGAGTGGGATTACGAGGAAAAACCGTCCCCTGGTCTTTAAAGCTGCAGCTCAGTGGATGGATTTTCTTCTTAACGAAACTTTACACAACGCTCGGGTGAAGTTGGATTGTCCGCAGTCTCCTCCGGCCGCCTTCTCTGTTCAGACACCGGTTCTCGTCCATTCATTCATGGAACCTGGATCCACAAAGACCCAGTGCAGTTTCTCTCTCTCTCAAGTGGCGCAACGCCACCGCTGCTGCTGGAGGCGCCAGAGACACACATGCAGTCAACAGCAGCACAGAGCAGAGGTTCATTCACGCTTTCAGTAAACTTGTCACATGTAAACAGTGAACACGAAACAGCATCAGGTGTTGGCTCCACCTTGAAAACGGCAGGTGACGAGAAAGGAGAGCGGAAATCCCTGGGACATCCCAACCCAACAAAGGCTACACCTTTCTATAGTGGGCCCTCCAGTTAATGTTGTGCCTGCGAAACCTTCTGTTTTTTATCAGAGGCGTTTCCAGTTTGGGGTGTTTTTTTTTTAATAGGGGTGCGCCTAAAACAAAGCAGCACTGGGTGGTGGGGCAAAGGAAATGAAGTAAAGTCGGTGTAGACAACACTGGGCAAGGTTTTCTGACTCATACGCAGCCTTGTGTCCTTATACAGATGGTATTAATTTAAAAAAAAAAAGATGGTGCATAAGACCTCAGACAACTTTATGTATTAAAACCGTTTTACAAAACTATAAAACAAGTAGCCTATTAAATAAAAGCCACAGTAATAGTTTAGCATTAAAATGTACTCAAATAAGCTAAAGTAACTGAGGTAAAAGTAATTGTTTTGGAGCACATGTACGTTACATCACTATTGATTTATTAATGTGTATAGCGAATTAATGTTGCAACTAGAAACTATTTTATTTACTTATATACTTAAATGTAGCTTTATTTATATTAAACCAGCATCAGTAGTACCAGAGCTTTAAAATACATGATGTGAACTACAAAGTACATTATTTCCAATAAGAATGCTGTGGAATAGAAGCGGAAGGTAATAGAGAACTTCTTAATGTACAAGTACATTAAAACAGTACTTCTGTAAAGTATTACATCACATTTTGCTCACTGGTTCTATCTATGCTCTCTTCCAATGGCAGTGGGCGTTGCAGGATTAACTGTCCTTGCATCACTGTACTCTCATGCAGTAACAGTGGTGGTGAGTTGGGGCACCAGGTCAGTTAGCGTTAATTTTAGTGCTCCCTGGGACATAAACACTGCTTCTATGGAATCACCAGTTAAATAGATGACAGAGAAACTTTTAAAAAGTCTGCTGATTGCAGCAGTGAATATTTTTCTATTAATATCAATACAGATATCGAGTGACATGATGAAGACCATTAAAGACTATTAAATGTACCAAAACTAAGTAGCCAGCAAGTATTCATGCTAGCTACTGTGAAAATCAATGTAATCAAACAGTCTAAAGAATCTGTAATTGCATGCATGTTTACATTGAACGTGAACAACACTGTCTCTACATTGTTGTTGTTGTTGCAGGAAGAAGATGAACATCACATAAAGAGTGAGGCACGGATTTTTTTGTGAGGAAAAATACAGCAACGAAAACAGGATTTGTGCACAGCTTTGCCTTTTGGCAGGTGTCCTCGATACTTTTCTGGTTGATGTTCCAAGTTTTAACCAGATCAAGAACCTCACCAACTCTGCCAAACCCACCATAGGAACCAAAATAAAACCCCAGCTCACATGTCCCATTAAAACAAAAACTAAAATTTTTATACTTAACTGGACTGCCAAATGTTTTCCCTTTAAAAGTAATGAGGTGGTGTGCAAAATGTAGACAATATCGGGAAAATATGACAATTTCAATTACTCAAAGGTCAGGCTGATGTAATAATAGCCTGTGATACGTTTCTATTTGATTTTTGATTGAAATTGAAATTTTGGAGGATTTAGTTTTTGGGGGACGGGGCACCAAAGAGGAAAGAAATCAGTAGTGATCTTATAGAAACGTTGCTGCCATCAAACCTGAGAAGAGTTATAAACTCATTTCCAAATAATTTTTAGCTCATCATTATTCACAAGTGAAAAATATTCAAGACAGTTGACAATCACAGCAAACTCACCACAGTGTCAGAACATACAATGCTCGGAGAAACTGTATAAATCCCAAGCGCTACATCTCAGACTCTTTGGGCCTTTATCAGCATGTTAAATGTTAATGTTCATGACAACAGAATTAGAAAAAGACTGAATGAGTATGGCTAGTTCGGGAGGGTTACCAAAACAAGCCATACTGCCATGTTCTTTAAAGAGAATATGGCAGGACAGCTTAAGTTTGAAAAATTACATCTGAACAAACCACAAGATTCTGGAGCAGCGTCCTCACTTTGGACATATTTGACCAAAGTGGAGATGTTTGGACACAATGCACTGCACCAACCAAACACAGCACATTTGCACCTCATAACAACTGTCAAGCTCGATGGTGGCCTGATGATTTGGGCTTGTTTTGCAGCCACATGACATGGGCACCTTGCAGTCACTTTGAGTCAACCATGAGCTCGTCTGTGTACCAAAGTATTCTAGAGTTAAATATGAGACCATCTGCTTGCCAGCTAAAGCTTGGCCAAAATTGGTAATGCAAGAGGATAACGATCCCAAGCACAGCAGCAAACCTACATCTGAAAAAGAAAAAGTCAAGGTGTTGCAATGGCAAAGTCAAAGTTCAACATGATTAAGATACTGTGGTGGGACCTTAAGAGAGCTGTTCATAAACAAATACCCGCAAACCTCAGGGAACTGAGGCAACATTGTAAAGACTGGGCCAAAATTTCTCCACAATGCTGTGAGAGAGGGATAAAGTCATACAGAAAACAAATACTTCAATTACTGCTAATGAATCATGGGTACACTTGGTTTTTTCACACACCAGTTCTGCATTTTGGCTTTTGCAAATAAAATAAAAAAGGCATAATTATTAACATATTTAAACTTTTGATAGAACAAGTTGATTTTTATTACGTCCTGATATGCAAAACCTTAGAACTGAAAAAGGTGATTGCATCTATGTTATCTTAAATCACATTTCTGGTTTATTTGTTTTTTGAGATGAGTGGTATGTGCACTACTGATGAGACTTTTCATGCATTTAAATGTACTCTGAACTGAAATATATCCCACCAGTTTCATGTAGACTGCCTAGTGGCACATCTACAGTGGGCTCTGGGTTGCATGAGGTCTAGAGGAAAACATCTGACGTGACAAAGCTAAAACAATGACTCTGCCAAAATGTAGCTGTGCTGCGTTTGTGCGCTCCCACCCTCAAATAAAGAGGCGGGCAACAGTGAACAAAGACGAGCGAGGGGGCAGAAAGGGGATGTTAAAACAGCCCACTTAACAAATGAGCAATTCTCCACTGCGTGACCGGTTGTTTACGGCCGAGTCCTTACAGTCCTTCAGTTCTTCCACCGAGATAAGATAAAGGTCAGCCTTCGTGCAGCAGCATCTCGGTCCAGCGATCTTCTTCCTTAATCTTAATTTGCATCGTAAATTCATTACGAAACATTATAGTTTAACAGAATTACAATCTTATTACAGGCTAGAGTTCTGCTGTTCAAAACAAAGTGGCAACATAATTGTCTGCTGCCCCCTTGAGGGGAGAAAGCCAAACATCTAGAAACAACAAGCTCTTTATTTTCATCCCACACAGGTCAACATAAGGAACTGTAAACAAAACCTCTTGAATGGCCTTAAGTAACAAATGCAAAAAAGGGCAATAAAAATGGAGACACTTCTGTAAAGGCTTTGATTGGTGTACAAACAACACGGGCATTGTCCTTGTTGGGTTTTCTTTGCAACTTCAACTGAGCTCACGTGAAAGACGTCTTCATAACTGCATCCTGTCCTCTTCTTTATTTTTTTGTTGAATGGAAGGGAAAACAACACGGAAAGCGCCGGCGGTGGATACTTTATAACAAAACAGCTGCCAACATGGAAAACTACTTGTCTGGATCAGGCAAAATACTGCACATAGTGATAAATTAAATTGCTATTAAACCATTTGAACTCTACATGGATATATGATTATGATATTTAAATATCAAAGCAGCTGTAACAACCACCATTCACAATGCTCTAAATAGCTGGTGAAGGTAAGAACCACATAGTCTGGAAACAAACTTGCTTCACGTTTATTATCTGGCAGGCATTTAAGATTTGGAATGTCATCCACAAAAAACAAAAAAAAGAAGAAAAAGAACCATCAAACGAAAGCTTTGACTATAACGTGTCGTGTTATTTTACTGTCCACGTGAGAGAAAACACCTAAGCGCCTTCACAGCATCAAACAAACATACAGTTTCAGGTTCCAAGATATGGCAAGGGCTCTCAAAAAAAGAACTCCAGTAAGGTCAGAGTATGAACCTTAAAACAAAAGTAAGAAGTGTCCCACCTCAACCTCAGTTCTGTACATTCAAAGGCCAGCGCTGACTGATGGGGAAATGTAAAGGGCAATAAAATGCTGCAGAAATGTCACTGCATCCCCACTTGACTGGGCCTCGTCATTCCCTTGAAGACTCGCAGCTTTCCTGCTCCAGTGAGATCAAAACTGTAGTCTGTAGTAACATAGGGCATCTCCCCATCAATGCCCGGCTGAAATAGAAACAAAGACACTACACGTCACAATAGAACAGTAATGTCATCTTTAGATATAGTTATACACAACTGAGAACTTTGGAACTCTGAATGTAAATAAAAACAGAATGCAACTGATTTTATTCACAACAAATCAAAGACAAACATATCAAATGTTTAAACTGATACATTTTACTATTTGATGAAAAACTGTTTTTTAAATCTGATTTTTACATTTATTGGCAGCAACAGATCTCAAAAGAAACTGGGACGGATGAACAAAAGTTTGGAAAAGTAAGTAACACTAAAAAGAAACAGCTGGAGCAAAACTGTAAAGACGTAAAACATCTCATCATCTACATGCCTGTGATAGTCGGACCCTCAGGAAGCAGTGCATTAAATAAAAAAGGAAGACATAATTCTGTCAAGGAAATCACTACGTGGGCTTGGACACTTCTAGGAATCACTGTATGTGAACACAGTTCACTGTGCCATCCAGGTTAAAGCTCCATTATGCAAAGAAGAAGCCATATGTGAACGCGATCGATCAATGTCACCATCTTCTCTCATTTAAAATGGACTAATGGAAAAGTGCGTCAGATGAACCAAATTTTGGCTTTTTTGGAGGGGGGAAAACATGAATGCCAAGTCCTCAGGTACCACCTGGGTTGTTATTAGTGCTCCCTTAAAGAGCCTTCATCTCTAATGCTATGGAGGTGCACTTGTGCCTAGAGATGAAACAGCCTGCACATCTGGAAAGGCAACACCAGTGCTGCAAGGTCCATACAGGTTTTAGAGCAACACAT